CACAATCGTGGGTCTAAAGATGAACAGTAAGATCGTCTATATCTCGGAGCCCAATTTGATCTTTGGCCACAGCACTATATGCGATCCCATAGAATATGTATTCTTGATTCTTCCATATGCCAGGATGATATACTGTATTCATAAACCCAGATCTGATATTATCAATTCACAGATTATTATAAGAACACCAGAATAATGGTAGATTATGCTTTTTGGCATTACTGAGTTGTTTTATGGATCAAACTGTCATGCGCTTCTTTTATATTGCACATAGAAAACTATGCTGGTCATTTGTCGTAGATCGGAAGTGCCTGCTTTTGATATCTACATGCAGTCAGAGTCACAGGGAGTGTGGCATCCATGGATTCTTCCATTCTACTTGCACACCTGCTCGAAAGAGACGATCTTGGGAAGTGAATACAAAACACTATATACTAATCCAAGAACCTTTGTCACATCATTTGGTCTTACATGAAAGTGGAGAAGTTGTGATCTAGAGTAAATGCAGCTCCAGATGAACTGATTGATATCTCGGAGATGCATCTCCAAAGTCAGAAGGGTGGTTCCTTGTGTCATCAGCACGTACGACTATTCATGCAAACCTGGAAGAAGTTGCACCAAATCAAGGTGAAAGAGGAGCAGGACACCCGTAGGAGGATAAAATAAATGGTAGTAAATGAATGTTAAGATGTGAGTGGGTACACATCGACAATTCTTTCTTAATTGACATAGTCTCATAATCTATAGCCTCTAGCTTGCTTCACCAGCTTTTCTATGTTTATGAATGGATCACATCGAACTCTGATTGATGATATCTTTCTTATTTCCACAAAGTATCTCTAAGTCATCTGTAACTCTGATTGTCCACCACCTTGGTAGGCAAACCAATTCCACTAAAGACTCATTGTCAGCAGCATCAAATCCACCGAAAACTACCGAAGCATGGTCTCTAGTCCATTCATGTGAAAGATATATATGGTCACCTAGAGAGTATGAATTGCATGACCTAACATGTCTCAGACACATACGGGCACATCCGTACTACGTGTACTACGACCTTGTTGGTGATCATTGATTGCTTGACCCCATGAACGGGGCCCATTCCACCGTTTGTAATAAGTGATTTCATCAAATGAATACTTTGCTCCTTGGTTTTTTTGTCGGCTTAATCTACGATCACAATTCCTTGCGGTTTAAACTTTGGATTAGGGTTACGGCAACTCCAGGCTAATTTTTGTTCTCATGTTCGGTCGATAAAGAGGGAGTTTTTATTAGAGTGCGTAATCGTATGGAAATGGATGTTGATAGAGACACAAAATGACTGAGAGAGTTCTTAGTATCATGGCATGAAATGAAGCGTAGCAGATACACACACTGGCATAATTTACACAATCAAACTATTTTGTAGAGTTTAGATTAATTCTTACGTAGATTTTACTTTTTGCATCCAATAAAATATTTTTCTCTTTTGCTTACTCTCCTCTATTAAATTTAGTTTCGTTGGATCATGGCCATCGTGATATACCTTACCTCTATGCCATTCTTATTCCATCTTACTTTATTGCGTCTTGTCATTCTAGAATATAGGAATTTTGATCTACCTTGAGCCTCAAATTGCATGGAAGATCAATCCATATCGGAAATTAAGTTTTTATTTTCTTACTCTTATTAGGTATGTGACACAAATATTATAGATTACTAGCCATACTTGCTATTATTCTTATGTTTCATTACATATATAAGTAACAAATGCCAAGATTTGAATCGAATTTTTTACCTCGTCCTAATACGAATAAATTATGAGATATGTGTGACGTAATCAACATATGTTTTAACAATATTTAAAATAAATTAAAAAAAACTATTTATAGTACATGAGGAGTTTGGGTTCGAGATAAGTGATACCAGACTCGGTTTGATTTTCAATTAAAGATAGACAAACCCTAAGAGAAGAGGTCGTGCGTGCGAGCGCACAATAAATTTAATGAAAAATTATCATAGATTATCATCCCATAACTTAATTTAGACTATTAATATTTTAGATGCGTCGATAAAAAGCGAGAGAATTTCAAATAGTTACAAGATAATATAGATCAACTTCAATAATTTGGATCTTTATGCTTTTTTTATGATTTTACATTATCACTTCAATCTAATCATGGATATATATATATATATATATATATATATATATATATATATATAACATCCCGGTTTTATAACATCCCGGTTTAGTCCCAATCAAAAGTACATAAAAATTAAAATAAATTTATAAAGATATTAGTTTAGTGAAAGTGGACAAATATTCAGATTGATTTATAAAGAACAATATGTACTTTTGTTAAATTGAACTTAAGCTAACGAGTTAGTAGTTGTGACATGTAGTGTATAATATATTGATCCAGTGAAGAATGTCTCATCTTAAACCGTCCTCGAGTAATATTGAGTAATAGTGTCAAATATAGATGTATCTATTAAGTGGGAGCAATTAGACATCTTGAACAGCCCTTGATTCCACGGATGGGTATAGACTCCTATGCAACAACACTACAAGAAACTAATAATGATTGAGTGCAGAATACTTCCCTTTGGACTTGGACATGATTTATGCCTAATTTATGTGTATATTATAAATATAAGAAAGAACAAGAAAACCTTTGTAAGAGCTTTCATAAATATTGAAAGCTTAATAAGATGATCACAACACCAACCATATTTCTTTCATGCATTGGGTTCCAAAAGATGGAGATCGTATCATATAAAAAATGCATGAGATATGGTGGATGAGGAAACTATACATCCGACGCAGTAAAAGAAGTCATCCCATCAACTGTAGTGGTAAAAGAAAAGTCAAGTGGTTCAGCTTAGAGGTTTCTTAGGAACGGAAGAGGAGGGAACAAAGAGGACTTAGTAATAATTAGTGAATACGAATCAGCAGTTCCTTGGATTTTCTGGGAACTTGGCTATGGGACAACATGAAAATGATCCATGCACCTAACTACAAATGGATGGGAGTAGAGTTTTGTTGCTATCATTTTTGGTTGTCGGCATCATCAATGTAGTCGTCTTCGTATTAGGTAAAGTTAGCTAATGCACGGATCTCACTGTTTCTGATGTCCTTCGATAGCTCAAATCAACCTTTGTGGACTTCATCACAAGTTTAATGTGAAAGAACATGGGTTGATACATGGATACATGGGTGGCGAAGAATAATAGAAGAGAGAGGAGAGGTGGCAAATCTAGAGAAATTTCTAATCCATCAATTTTGATTTGACATTGTAAGGTTTCTTCTATAAGCTAAATCCTGCCCGATTATAAGAGATTTTGACTCAAATCTTTAGATACAACGATAATATATATATATATATATATATATATATCTCCTAACTATTTGAGATTGATAATGATATCTAAAATAAAAGAAGCATTTGGTATGGATATGGCGAGAGGTCCTCACAAGTCAAATCCCGAAAAGGAGAAAGAAAAATAATAATGAACGATAAATACAAATTAAAGAGCATATATGTATTTATTTAATTAGAGAAAATAATTAGATCAAGGTTGAAAGACCCACTGGGGGTTGACTATGATGGACATCATCATGTTTGATGCATCACAGAGACGACTCCTAAATATTACATAGTTGATTCACTAATAATGTCGATAAGATTGACGTTGAATGCCCGAGGCAATGGCGAGTCTAGCAGGCCTTTTTGATGACCTTTGTCACTGTCGTTTCATTCTACTACTTGGCTGAACCACAAGTTATCATTTTCGAAGCTTAAATCTACATGTGTGTTGATCTCTCTCTCTCTCTCTCTCTCTCTCTCTATGGTTTCTTCTAGTTCAACATTAGAGTCAGTAGGGTTTGTGATTAGCTTAGTGATCAGCTAAGTGGCTTTGCCAGTGGATTTGGAGGTATAGTAGTTTACTATTTTACATGCGGAACTGCGGGCACATGCATGCAATAGGCAATGGCACAAGTTTCTCTTTCCAAAAGGTACCGATTCTTTCTATCTATTTAGAATTTAAATCTACAAACTGTGTTGATAGTATCATCATTTCACTTCGACTTACTTTTTGTTAGCACATGTGTAGATCGATAGATAGATAGATAGATGGTTGTTTAGTTTATCAGCTCACCATCATGGTTTTATCATGTAGGCACAAAAGAAGGATTTGGACAAGCCAAAAGAGCACGGTAGCCTTTAAGGAGTAATTTCCGCCGATTGCTTTCTCCAGCAATCGTTCAGATGCCACTTTTTTCTGTAGGTTTTCCCAAACCACATTCCTTTGTCCAGACATTGCTGCTTCTTTTATTTTACTGTTGTTTTCCTTCATCCAGTGAATTCGTGCTCGATGATGTTTACCGAATTCATCGTATTGGAACTGTTCATCCATCTCAGCTTCTTCGGATTTATCCCATTCAAATTTGAGATATGATTCCGTCGAATCGTAAATGGAGAAGAAAGGGCTCATGCACACGTATACGTTGTCGGAATACCATCGACGGCCGGTAGGGGGGGATCATCGCCCTGAGGAGCCAGGAATGTGGTGATGGGAAGCGACGTTTCCTTCTTTTACCCGGCCCCGCAGGGAACGGGAGAGAATGAATGGGTCGGATCCTATCTCAGCTGCTAAAGTTCACGTTAACCATGCTATGCGAACAGTAATGAGTTCAAAGATGGGGGAAGAAAGACGAAGAAGGGGTGGTGGGCAGGAGGAGGAGGAAGAGGAGGGCGAGTGAGTCCATGGGATGTATAAAATCTAGAGGGAGGGGGAGGGGGGGGTATCCATCCCCAAATCTTGCTGCTGGAGAGAGATTTAGCTGCAACTTACAAGAAACTTGTACGTCTGCTTTAGTGCATCTGATGCATGTAGTACCCAAGCTAGGCTGGTCACTTACCTACTACCACTACTAAACACAACTTCAATACGCCCTCTCCCCTATGTTTGCAGGGGCAATTCCTTTTACGAGACTAGTCAAAGCTTCCTCGCTACTACAGTGGAAAATGACTGGCACATGGCCTTTAATTCCAAGCTCACCTTTTCATCTTTCTCTCCTCGCCTCTCCTGCTCCCCTTCCCCCTCCCTTTCTTGCTTCTTTCTTCTTTCTTCTTCTGCATCATTTTTTTTCTATCTTTCCATCTATCTACTCCTCTGACAGACCACAAAGTGTTCATCCAAAGTCTTCATGCATTATTTGTGTTGGACTTGACATGGTTTGGTGACTAGAATACATCCCCTTTTGTGCAGAAAAATATGCATGTCTTGATATGATGCAGAAACCCAAAACCCCCGTGACGGCACGCTTAAAGCAGGAAGGCAGTGATGTCGGGCAGATGCACCGGATCGCCGATTCATCGCATGGGCGCAAGTGAGGGCACCCGCTGCTTAAGGAGCGGCCTGCTTCCCCAGTCGAACTGTTCGATGCAAGTCTCGGTGTGAGGCGGGGAGGGGGGGGAAGCTTGTTCTTCTTTTGTTGGCGGTGGTGGCCCGAGTTTGGTGATTTGTGGGAGAGAGAGAGACAGAGAGAAGAGAGAGATTTGGATGGAGTCGGAGGCGAAGGAATCGGCAGGCGGTGGAGGGGAGGCGGAGGACGCGACGGCGAGGGCCGCGCGGAAGCGGTACGAGCGGCTGGTGGCGGTGCGGTGCAAGGCGACGAAGGGGAAGGGCGCGTGGTACTGGGCCCACCTGGAACCCATCCTGGTGACGCCGGCCGGGTCGTCGCAACCATCGGCGGCGAAGCTGCGCTGCGCCCTCTGCTCTGCGCTCTTCTCCGCCTCCAACCCCTCCCGCACCGCCTCCGAACACCTGAAGCGGGGCGCCTGCCCCAACTTCTCCTCCCCCTCCTCCGCAGGCCCCGCCTCTGCCGCCGTCGATCCCGTCCCCATCTCCTCCCTTCCCCCAGCCTCTCCGCGCCTCCGTCCCCACCATCCCCCCACCCGGAGGCGCTCCGCCCCGACGCCGCTGGAGCCTAAGTTGCCCCTCCTGCTCTCCGGCGGGAAGGATGACCTCGTCGCACTCGCGAGGCTGGAGGACAGCGTGAAGAAGCTGAAAAGCCCCATGGCATCCCCCGCCGCCGCCCTTTCCAAGCCCCAGGCGGACGCCGCTCTCGCCCTGCTCGCCGACTGGCTCTTGGAATCCGCTAGCGCCGTCTCCCCCTCGGCACTCGACCACCCAAAGTTCCAATCTTTCCTCAACCAGGTCGGTCTTTCCTCTATTTCGCCTCGCCAGCTGACGCTATCACACCTCCAAGCTCGATACCTCGAGGTCCTGTCCGAGTCCGATGCCAGAATCCGCGACGCTGCCTTCTTCCAGCTCGCCTCCGACGGATGGAAGTCGTCGGCGAGGCCTTCGGAGTATGCGTTGGTGAGCCTCGTGGTGAACCTCCCCAACGGTACCGCATTGTTCCACCGTTCGGTGCTCACCACCGGAGGAGCCCCCTCCAGTTATGCCGAGGAGGTCTTGCGGGACGTCGTCGCCAAGCTATGCGGTGGTCTCGTCGACCGGTGTGCGGGCATCGTCGCGGACCGCTTCAAGAGGAAGGCTCTTCTGAACCTCGAGAACCGAAACCAAAGGATGGTGAACCTCTCCTGCCAGCTCCAGGCCTTCAACAGCTTGATCAAGGACTTTGCTCGGCAGCTTCCGCTCTTTGGAAGGGTCTCCGCTAATTGCTCGAAGCTGACTAACTTCATGAACAACCAATCTCAAGTTCGAAGCATTTTTTCCAAGTACCAGCTCGAAGAGCAGGGCCACACCCGCCTTCTAAGAAGCCCGTCCAGCAGCAGCGACGAAGCCTCTAATTTCACCGCGGACTTCACCATGGTGGAGGATGTCATGGATTTCGCTCGTCCGATCCAGATGGCTGTCCTCGACGAGGACTATAAGGTTGTTTGTCTGGAGGAGCCTAGCGCTAGAGAAATGGCGGAGCTGATTCAGGATGGTGGGTTTTGGACCGAGTCGGAGGCAGTTAACTCGTTGGTCAAGTTGCTCAAGGCCATGGCTCGAGAAATAGAGATGGAGCGGCCATTGATCGGGCATTGCCTACCGCTGTGGGATGAGCTGCGATCGAAGGTCAGAGAGTGGAGCGCTAAATACGGGATCGACGGCGGACTGGTGGACAATGTGATCGAGAAAAGATTCACGAAGAACTACCACCTGGCGTGGTCGGCGGCATTCGTTTTGGATCCGCTTTTCCTGATCAAGGACACCAGTGGGAAGTACCTCCCACCTTTCAAGCTCTTGACTCCGGAGCAGGAGAAGGATGTGGATCGGCTCATCACGCAATTGGTGTCGCCGGAGGAAGCCCACATTGTTCTGATGGAAATGATGAAGTGGAGGTCGGAGGGATTGGATCCGCTTTACGCACAAGCTGTTCAGGTGAAGCAGCATGACCCGTCGACGGGGAAGATGAGGATCGCTAACCCACAGAGTCGCAGGTTGGTATGGGAGACCTGCCTGAGCGAATTCAAATGTCTTCGGAAAGTGGCGGTGAGGCTCATTTTCCTCCACGCCACTTCGTGCGGGCTCAAGCGCAATTCGGCATTGACGCGTTGGATGTGCGCGCATGCACAGTCGGGGGTCGCACAGAAGATGGCTTTTCTCACCGCGCATTCCAGGATTGGAAGGGGGGATTTCTTAGGCGAGGAGGAGAAGGATGCGGAGCTCTTCGGCGCAGGTGAGGATGATGTGCTCAACGAGTTTGCGGGTGCCTCAGCAGTGTAACATCTCTCTCTCTTCTGGATTAAGTCTTTTTTTTTTTTCTCTTTTCTGTTGCTGAGTGTAGATTAGTATTGAAGGAATGTTGATTCTTTGTATGGATTCTCTAGCCCTTGTTCTTCTAACACCTGCTCAGTATTTTGTTTGGGGTGGGAGTAGAGGCACAAAGATCTACTAAATATTTTATTTAGGGGAATATTATCTTCCAGGCTGATGAGTTTGCACAAGTCTCTGTTTGTTAGAAGATAGAAGATATGTCTATGAATAGAAAGAGAGGGAGACTCATGTAAAGTTTTAGCACTGATTGATATTTGGGCAGATCATTCTTTTCTTGTGCTCTTTGCCATCATTTTTTTCTTTTTTTTGGACTTTGAAATTGCTTAGTTTAGTTTAATGTAGGAACTGACACTGCTGCTGCCATATTCATGTCATATGATTTTCATGCCTTGGTCCTATAAATATTCATATTCATAGGGGAATGTGATTTATTATATTATTGGTCCTAAAGTTGTTTCTATGATGATGCCCATATTCCAATTATATTACTGAAAAAACAAATGTTCACTGCTACTTGCTATTTGTCTGCAATGATAAACAAATTATAGTTGGGAGTACTGTGAGTTGTTGCTTTGAAATTGAATATATTATTGTTTTGTTTCTGTGTGTGTGTGTGTGTGTTTGTGTTCATCATCATGATATGCACTCACTGGAAGAAAGATTTCCTTCCAAGTCATGAGATCTTTTGTGATTTTGTGTCTTTGTGATAAGTTGGATCAGGTGATCATTACATGCACTTATTAGAAAATATCATTTGGGGGAAAGGAATTTTTTGTTGCATAAAAAATCTTTATTGCTGGTTTAATTGTCCCATTTTTCGTGATATATCTATCTATCTATATATCTATCTTCTCAGTAGAATTCTGCTACTGAATTGTATGAAGCTCACATATATGTGTCAGTAGGAGAGCTCATAAGAATTAGATAGCAATTAGATAGCAGCAGCAGTCTTGTCGTCATGTTGTTCATAAGAATTTCCTGCTTGACGCATTCAAACATGTGTGAAAGACATCATTCGTTGGATTAGTTTGAGCTGCTTCCCCCTTTTTCTACATCTCCTTGGAATCTCTTCTTCCTTCCACCCATCGCATCGCATCGCATCGCATCGCATGACTAACTTCTCTGGCACCACAGGATCAAACGATGAATCGAATCTCCCACTGGCTTTGTTCACATGTCCAATTTGAGAACATTAGAAGGTGAATCAGAGCACATCCATCTCACCATCCATCTTCCCCTTTGCGGCTTTGTTCCTCGTCTTTCATGCTGAACTGTGTAATGGAAATGGCTCTTGTTTTTGGCATGCTTTCCAATGTAATGCACCGATCCGAAGTCTACGCATGTGATGCATGCATCATCTTTCTTTCGAGTGTTGGCTGGAGACGACGGCTCTCCCATCTGCTTGCAGATTTGGTGGTAGGTTATCAACTTTTGGATGCACTTCCAGCAAAATAATTTCTTGGACTCGTACTGCACTGCACAAAAGGATACTCGCTTTGAATTTGACGTCCTGTCTTCTCCCTTCCCCATGTATGCATCCCTCTTTTGTCCCTTCAATTATTTTTTTCTCTCTCATCATCTTTCTCTCTCCCTCGTTCATGGCATCTGATGAGTTCAATTGTCCTGCATTATTTTTTGAATGAGAAGAAACATCATTTTGCCTCCATTCACCCAAATCTCCATTTTCTCCTTTATTATTATTATTATTATTATTATTCTCTTTTCGAAATTAAGGATGAATCTCATATTAATGTCATTGGTGTCGTCGTCAACGTCATATCTTATCCTTTTCTTATATATATATATATTTTTTATGATGATACGATTATTATCTCCTTTATGCTCTTTTTCCTTCTCATCCTCTTCGGAAAATTTAATATAGTTTATAGCAATTTTTTTTTTTATGATGACACGATTATTATCTCCTTTCCGCTCTTTTCCCTCTCATCCCCTTTGGAAAATTCAATGTAGTTTATAGCAAGGATAATCCATGTGGTGATGATGATGACAACAATGACTATAGCAACATCAGTCATCATAAAATTTATATTATAACGTTTGAACCAGAAATTGATCTTAGAATAGAAGAAATTATTATATATTTGGATAAATTATTAATCAAGATAGTGATAGCATGGTTGAAATTTATATATAAATTGTAAAATCATCGATCATAGATCAAAAATATTTTATTTAAAATATTTTATATGTCTATTAAATAATAGATAATTTTCAAAATAGTATTATAACTTTTGAAATAATTGTACTACTTTGATGTTGAAATATCGAGTTTTTGAATGACTAATTTTAAATTAATAATGTAATTTCATACCAATCTTGAACTGCCAAAACATAAAAATACACATTGAATCTGAATTATCACACGTTGAATCGAGAAATTAGAAAGGTGTATTCCTCTCAAGATTACATTTATATGATAAATATCGAGACATAATGCTTAAATTCAATAACGAACAATCACTTATTAAACTGAATTTGCGCAAAAGAAAAATCAATTTGGATTATTTTTTATCCATTTGCCATTCATTTAATGAAATCAAATGAACAATTGTGTGAGTGCAACAACGACAAGCGATAGTTATAATTTTTTAATATAAATTACAATAATTTCAGTAATAGTATACTAATATATATTTTATTATTTTTAGAATCATCTATATTTGTCTTAATAATATTATATTGAAACTCTGTCGGATCTTATGAATATGAATTTTTTATGTAATATATTATTTTATTATTCTAGCATGTGAATATAATGATAGGGAGTGGTCAAAGTACAGATAAAATCTGCAATTATAATACTCTTTAGCAAATTAAATTTTATTTATATATTATATTTGAATCCCTTTAGTTTCTATTGAGTACATTCCTGAGATTTAATGTTCATCGACGGAAGATTTTTAGTAGGTATAACTACAATTCCGGCCATGGAACCGAAGAGGAAGATGAAGACGGGATGAAATCAGTAGATGAAAATGTAGGGTAGGATTGGATCATCCTTTTAGTAAACGACAAGAATAGGAGCACATTTCAATCTTTTTGGAAAGGGAAAAAAAGGTGAGGGGAAGGGCTGTTCGCGGTACGTGATTTTTGAGGCAGGCACTGTTCCTGTCATCCCAATCAATGATTGTTCTCCGAGAGAGAGAGAGAGAGAAAGAAAGAGAGAGCAAAAGAAGGGAGATGATGCACTCTTGGTCTAGAAATGGTGAGGCTTAAAGACTAATGATTGCTCCTTACTCAACATGACGAGTCCCTTCGGCCCTTGCATGCCTCCCACATGTACACACGGTACTGTTCTCAATCAGGGATGAGTAGTGGTGGTGCTGTGGACTGAGTCTGTCGAAAGCTGAGAGCCTCCATCCAGTTAAGAAAAGCTAGTGAATGAATCGACTGTTGGGGTATTACGTCAAGCTCACCGAAGAGGGCGGCCACTTCCACTGCTTTCCCTGCAGGTTGGGTGGATGGCGACGTCGACTTCAGGAAACAATGAACGAACGCAGCACAGAATCTTTGTCGGCAGATGGAGAGCACTTTATCGTCTTCCTCGAGGCCCACTGCAGCAACAGCAGCAGCAACGCCATTTCAACCCTAGTGCGCTCGTTGCAATCTAAGCAAAGAAAAGAAAAAGGAAAAGGGCGTCAAAAGGACCTTCCTTTCGCGTCACCTTTGCCTTTCTGTCTCTCCTCTTTCTTCTTCTTCTCCTCCTCCTTCTTCTTCTTCTTCTTCTTCTGTTTCTTTCTTTCTCGCTCTTGTTGTGGGTGACGATAAAATATACCCTTTCTGTCTCGGAGCTCGCTTTCCATTCATTGTCTCTGCCGACTCTTTCGTCCGCGAGGCTCGAGAGTTGGCAAGCTTACTAGATTTGAGGACGGCTCTTCTTTTTTGCCATGACTTGTATAGCAAAAAGGGCCGCAAGATTTGCTAAATTAGGCAACTAATTGCATTTCAATTATGGCCTCCTGTAGATCACTTGCTTTCTGGAAAGTTGATGCTTTTAATCGCCACTCTCTCTCTCCAAAAGCTTCTCCTTATTCCACATGACATTGGATTCTCTTCATTTTCCTTGGTATTAAACCAGCAACAGTAAAGTAGTGTTGATTTGTAGTTGTAGAAAACGCTGTGCTGAGATGTAATGCCAACAAAATAAAATGATGTCAAGAGTGTGTCTACATATGCACATTTATGAGTCAATGAATCGTCAAACTATGGTTGGTAGTCAACGTGACCGAACCACACGTCGAAGGACAGAAACTATCGGCCAACCTAACCTAGTCGATAAAGACTTCACCAGATCACCTAACCTAGTTGGGATCATATATCTTGTCCTAACCAAGCATTTAGTGACAGTCACATCCTTCTCGATGCAAGAGGGTTCTCCAGGTCGTATATAAACTGTATCTTCCATGCACATACATACTGCATATTTATAATTAATAGCACATTTTTCTAAAATTAAATTTTGGCTTGAGCATCGAGAAAGATGTGATGCAATTCATTTTGGCCTCCACTTACTCTGTCTTGCAGGTTATATTCCAGAGTCATAGGTTGGACTTCTGAGACCCTATTAGCAAACTCTTAAGCCACCAAACTTTGACATGGTGTTGATTCAACACAAAGAAAAAGGTGAGGTCCAATCTGTCGCCCTTGCAGCGGCCAAACAATCAAAACCTCATCGTCAACATCAGATACATTAGGGTTGAAAGATCATGTGCAAGTTGGTGAAGATTTAGTTGTCATTTCAAATCCTTTTTAAGATTTTGAAAAGCACTCGAATAATGTTGGCGTAGAACAAAAACCATCTTATTCCTTTTGTTTCAGAAAGAAATTATCGTCTTGATAAATGTGTATCTTTTTTGTTCTTTGGCACAAAAAATTATGAGGACAAGTTTAGGGGTTCTTTGTGCTTCTCCGGTGCAGTTTGGCCCTCGAGGAGACAGAAACATATCCTGACATGGTCTCAATTTTGGCAGTAATCATATGGCTTCAGAAAAGAGTGCTCTCATCAAGTGCACTATGACATCTTTGTCTTAG